TTTTTTTTTTTTTTTTTGTTCATTACTTTTCACTCGTAAATAAGAAGAAAAGGAGAAAAGTTTGGAATGGTTATCGATTTTCTGATCTCTCTTAAGTTTCGAAGCTGAAAAGTCGCCAATGGAGGTTAGCGACGGGCCTTTGAATAACGATACATTTCACAGCTCGTGTTGAGGAAAAATATCGGCTTATAAAGAAAGTTCAAACATGTGGAAAAAATAATTCTGAAATTCATTTGCTGTCACCTTATAAAGAAAATTTAAGCATGTTTTTTCGATTGCAGATGCTTTGGGAAAAAATGACTCCGAAATTTATCGCTAACAGTGTCAGTATTATGCGTGATGATATTTAATCCTAAATATGAACGAACCGAGTGGATGTAACATTTTTCAAGAATATTACACGTTAAGAGAAAATTTTTTAAATATTTTATATGATGGAAATATAAGCGTAATATTTAATGTGATAGAGTCTGGTTGTTGCTTCATTGATTTATTCAGAATATTACATACGATGATGTACAATTTATACGATCGTGATAAATCTATTAAGTATTAAGCAATGATTTATCTCAATACTATATAGATTCCTCAGTTTCTTTCAATGTTGTAAAATTGTGGAATTTACGAAAAATAATAATCCAATGTTTAGAATTTACTTCCACAACCCGAACATTTAAAAACAAAATAGGAATTGATAATATAAATTGATCGAGAAAGATTACAAGTTAAATATCGCGAATTAAATATTGAGAACTCACTATGGCCGCTGAGGAAGTGATTAGACCTTTTTATCCCCAGTATTCAGAGAGTAATTGTATACGTTCGAATAAAAAAGTTGCCGCTTCATTCAATTAAAATAACTTTCCTCGCAGCTTCTTCGAGCATGATCGATTAAAATTCAAGCAGCTTGCACAAAGCAGCGAATTCTTTAAGAACTTTTAATTAGTTTCGCGATTGTTCAACGAGGCGAAGAAAAAAATACGAAAATCCACCGTCGGACATATAATCGAGAATTACAACGATCGCACGAAGTTAACGAGTAAAACATCCCGCGAAGAGAACTGCGTTCGCGTCGACAGCGATGAAGAGAAAATGAATTGTGTTTTATTTCGAGAACTGCGGTCGCAGTCGGGTGAAATTTTAAGAGTTCCAATTTATGCACCTTGAAATAATTAACCAAGTTTCTCTAACCGTCGTAACGAAAGCGAGCGATCGATCGACTTTTATTGACAAGAAAAGCGAGGCTAATTAATTTCATAAGGTAACAACCCGATCTCAATTTTCTAATAAAAAGCTTTTTCAACGAAAGTGGGCCAGGGATGGTTTTTAAAAAGAAAACGAAGAGGTAAACTAAATTATTCGAACAGAGAGT